CAAGTGGGATAAGTTGCAGTTTTTTGTACTACAGGAAAGAAACAGAGCATAATAATGACAAATTACAAACTCAATTATGCAATATGTTAAAAAAGTGAGAAAAAACATTTGGTTAAATTAGACTAAGATATACAAGAGACAGAATAAATCAAACATAACAAACTGACTTGATCTGGTTAAGCTCAGTATCTGTACCTTAGAGAAAAAGTGATTTTTGGATAGTGAAAGTTTAAACTGGGTCATCCTATTTCACAAAGTAAGCTAGAAGTCCTCATCTTCTTAATTTCATTTCCTTACTAAAAATATTCCTTCTTACAATTATAAATGAAATGATATTGTATCTGGCATTTAATTAAAAGTGATTTGTAACAGGGAGGATGAAGAGACACGAAGACTGTGGATGGAGCAGATCAGCAGTCTGCTGAGAATCCCTCATGCGGGGTGATGGCAACATGGGAGTTCATTATATTATTCTCTGATAAAATTTTTTAAGAAAATTCTTCTCAAAATGTCTACCTCTCCACTTGTTTAATCCTCTCTTCTTCTGTTGATAATATGTTCAGAAGAAAAGGAGTCATGGTAAGTATTTTTTCTAAGGAATAACCATTTCTTTTCCCAGCACCATCTTCAAATCTTAAAGGCACACTAGAAAATGAAATACTCAAATTACCTCCCTAAGATAGTATTGCTCTCCTACAAAACTAAACAATTTGAATTCCATAAATCAAAAGTTACACCTTTAAAGAAGATTTGGCAGGTTTATAAAGCTATTATTTTATTACATGTACTACTACTAACAGATTGAGTCTATTTAACAATTTTAACCTGTAACAGATTTGAAGACAATCACATCAGAATTTCTAGGAATCTCAAGCACTATGTGCGCTCACTTGATCTCATTCTCTACATGCACACGCGCACACAAACAAACAGGAGCACCTAGTAATTTTATTTTACTTATTTCTTCTCTAAGCAGAAGAAATATCTGTGAAACAGTCTATAAATTTTAGTATTGATGAATAGGAAAGACCTAAAACGTTTAAAATACACAATTATTACTTTCAACCTGATTTCATATGATATTCTCTATAAAAGAAGCATTATTTTTTTTAAATGTGCAAGAGCTTTTCATTGACCATATATAGTTTTATGGTATTAAAAAATGCAGGACTCTGTTTTTGCATCACCATGCAAAAATTCATTACCATATTTTCTGAGGACAGACATGAATGAAGTAATGATAGTCTTGGGTATTTTCTTTCTTCTGCAACAGTTCCGATAGGTATTGAGGGAACTGTAACTGATGCTCTTGAGGTTGATGAAAATATATAAGGAGGTTTAAGTTGCAAGTGTAATAACGGAAGTCCAAAGGAACTGTGAGGAGATATCTCCAGGGGCCCTGGCTTAATATCAAATATTTTTTCTGGTTTTATAGATATTGAAGAGTCCTGCTGAGTTGTCCAGTTTTCTTGTCCAACATACTGATCCAAGTTCACATGCTTAGGAATTTCTGTTATTATACTTTCTTCCCATTTCTTCTGCTCAACTGCTTTTTTTATGACTTCAGTATTATACTGGCTTAAATTCAAATGGGATATTGAAGTAGTATGCATTACTTTCTGTGGCAAAGCAGGTTGACAAGAATCAGATAATCCCCAAGCCTCTCTTGGCTGTGGCAGAGGTCTAAAGGGAACTTGTGGAACTCTTCCCGTATGTAAGCAAAGGGGCTTGAATTCATGCTTAGGCTGAAATTGAAGCAAAGGAAAACTGTCACTAGGACTAAAAGTTTTTGCAAGTGGGATAAGTT